GAGAGAGTTCAAAACTCACCTTGAAGAGCTGTAGGTATAGATGTGATCTAAGGAACCCAGCGAATGCAGCAAGGAGGCAGGTCGCCTCAGTCAGGCTGCGTGAAAACGGCTGTGTAAAGATTTGCCTGACAAGAGTCAAAACCACCACACCACTCAGGAACAAATGCTCAAACCCAAAACCCAGAGGTACATCTGCAGAGACTTCATGGTTCTGGGGCGACAATTTTGGATGAAGAAGGAGGATGTGGGGGCTGAACAGGTGACTTCTTAGATGATACAGAAAATCAAGGTTTCTTAACCCTGTAAGAAAGAGCAGCTCCCGAGAGGGGCAGAAGGAAGGCCTGGAAAACGATGTGGTGGTTTTCTGTGGATTGGGGTTCCCTTTGCTGTTGACAGCCAGCATGATAGCACACATGCAAAGGACTTCTGCATGGAACCCATAGCATCAGTACTGAAACGTGCTCTTTGGTGATGAGCAGTGAAAGGAAAAGGGAGATGCCCTTTAATAGTATGTACGGCCTTTATGTGGTCAAGCTAGACCTTGGAGTACGGGGGAGGCAGGGAAGATGCGAGAGACGAGCAGGGGGTGAGGCCCTGGTCTCTGCCAGACACTGGGCGAGGTACTTGCCAGCAGTTATCTCATCTAATCCGCACAGGACAGGAAGTCTACATGCCCCACCGAACTGTTGAAAGGAATACCTCAGAGGATGCACCCAAAGAGTACTTCGCACGTGTCTGCTCAATTTTAGGTATTACTATTATTAGCATTATATTTTCTTTATTTCGTGTCTCATGTCTCAACTTAAATGTGACTTCTTTAGGGAAGGCTTTCTTGAACTCCCAAACTACAATACATTGAGCTCCCTTTACATAGTCTCACAGGACCCCGTAATTCTCATGATTATAATTAAATGATACATGTGTCTAGTGTCTTACCGACTAGACTCATTTCTATGAGGGCAGAAGCGTTATACGCCTTGTTCAGGATCTCAGAGCTCAGCACATGCCTGGCACGTAGGAGGTGCGCCATGCGGAAGGGCTGAGCCAATCATGGAATGCTGGAGGTTAGGAAGGGACCGCAGAACGCATCTGGTGCCACGCCGCCATACAGATGGGGGAACTGACAGCCTGAGAGATACATGGACTTACTCAAGGTCGCATGGCTAGGAGTGGAGGACTCAGGCAGAAATGAGGCGCCCTGACTCCATGGGTGGCAGAAGCCTGGAAGCCACCTTCAGCCCTCACACCCCAGCCCTGCCCCCCACAAGGAAACCACACAGGCTTATTTGCCTAATCAACATCAACAGTAAGAAGACTCTGAAGGACACAAAAGTGAAAAGCACACCACTCCTTCCTGGCCCAACCCTCCTGCCCTCCAAACCGTCCTGTGTTTGGGCAGCTTCCACTGTTGATCGGCATGCACTTCTTGCCTAGAGAGATCCTAGAGAGTTTCATGGTGACAGCTTAACAATCACACTGAGCATCAGGAGGCTCTGGTGAGCAAGCCATGAAGTCACTGGTCCGACCTTGTAGGCCAGGACAGTTAGTGCTCTGATAGGAGTACATAACAGGCACGGCAAGGACAGAGGAGTGGGTAGTCAGTGCTATGGTGTGAGAAGGAGGTTAGGGAAGACTTCAAAAATGATGAAGTTTGAGCTGGGCATCCAAGGATGAATTCAAGGTCCACCAGGCAGGTAGAAAAAGTGAAGGGCAATGGGGGGAGAAGGAATAGCATGTGCAAAGACAGAGAGGTTTGCCTGAGCTCCAGAAGATGAAGCAGGTTGGGTGGCAGGAGGCCTTGCTAGTCATGCTAGGGGGTATCAGCCTTCTCCAGAGGGCAATGGCAGCTCTGCAGGATTTGCAGTTTAAAAGTGACTCACTCTGATTTGTTGTCTTACATCACTATGGCAGCAGGAGAGGGGCTGGAGTAGGAGTGGGGGGAGGCTGGAGGCTGGAGGCAGGAGTCTCCCACTGAGGCCAAACTCGAAAGCCCAAAGCCTAGCACCCCAATTGGTAGGCTCAATAGGCTTAAGAAGGACCCAGTGTCTGCTTTGTGCCACCAAATTCACCTCCTTTTTCCTAGTCATAGCCCCCCACCTTCCATAACTATATCTCACTTATCCAGAAGTCACTTAACTGATAACCCCAACGATCCAGAACCTAGCTGCTAGCCTAGAAGCAGACAGAAAAGGCCTCTGGACAGCAACATTCATATCCCAAATGTGCCCGACAGAGCATGCACTTCACACCCAAGGGCACATGCAGGCTGCCACTCAGGCTTAGTCATCTCTGGTCAAGAGTAGAAGCCAGTCAGAGTCAGCCCAGCTCTGCCACTTTCTAGCCATGTGAACCTGGCCCTCAGTTTCCTCATGCATAAAATTGGGGCAGTAGTTGTGGCTACTTCAGAGTGTGGCTGTGAAGATTAAAGAACATGAAGTATGAGGGGAAACGGCTAAAAGAAAGATGAAAGAAAAAGGCAGAAAATGTCTTGAGCAGACCCAACGTACAAAAGGGAACGGCAGGTAGAAGAACCATGTGATATTTCCAAGAACTTATTAAATCAGACACAGTGTGCTATCTTTACAAATGTGAGCAACATAGTTTACAAAAATGTCCTTTAAAATTAGACATTTTGAAAAGTTTTGGTGTTTAGAAAGTAGAGCTACTGGAAAAATTAATGTACATAAATTTATGTATGGGACTGACAGAATTCTGTGTATACCTGTGTACATCTAAAGTGTCCCCCCAAATTTATAAAACATACATCGTGTTTAACAGAATCTAAGACACCATCAATTATAAGACACACCATTATTTTGTGTGCCACTAAGAAATATTGCTATTATAATGGTAAGATGCAATAGATGGTAAGATGCACCTTGACTTCAGAGTTGTTAAAATCGGAAGTACGTACATCTTCAAGTCAATGGAAATCCTAATATGCAATATATGTTTGCTGTGAGAGTGTCTCATCTTCCCCTTGGGCAGATGATATAGTCTTTCCTTCACCCTTCTCACCTCCTTTCTATGCCAGGGGCTCAAAAATCAAACATAACACCTCTCCTTTGACCTGTTATTGCTTTATCTTGCCCCTCCAGAAGCTTCCTGTTTCAAAAAGCCGATGGAGGCTTTCAGCCCACCTAGAACTAATCAAACCAGTCTTCAGGTTCACAGGGGTCCCACAGAGTCACCAGCTCAGGCCCTTGCTGAGCCTCTTTGAACCAAAGCCAAGTTTGCACAGATTGAGTGTTCAGCTGAACCCAAACTGGGGCTTCCAGCTCTAGGCTGCCCAGGTAAAAAGGCTACTGGCTCTCCTCTTCTCCCACTTCTCAGCCAGCGGGCCCCGTGATCAGTGACTAACCTGGGATCGTGGACAGCCCCCAACAGCCTTCACTGCGGAGCCTCCCCCTCATCACCCCTCCAATATCCTCAAACATGCTTTTGCCCAGTTCCACCTATTAGTCTTGACAGAAACGGAAGGCGTACATGGGAGGGAGGATGGGCAGGCAGACGTGGCAGCTTCCACTGCAGCTTGGGGACAGAAGATATCAATCACCCCCCACATAAGCCAGAGATAAGGAGGAGGGATTTCTTAAAACCCCAATGAGGCCCAGCACACACAGACCCCGAGCCTTCCTGCCCCCACAGTCCTCGGCAGTTATGCTTTAAAAAAGCAAGTGAGGGTATCCTGCAGCAAGAAGAGAGAGCTTGACCATCCCACACCATGGCGGCATGCTGAGGAACCAGGTAAACCCTTGCTGCCCAATCTCTTCTTCTGCAAACATCCAGGGAGCAGCTCCCATGTGCAACCACTCTCATCACAGTTATCTCATTTAATACTCCCACAGCCCTGTGAGGTCACTAATAGAGTCCATTTTATAGACAGGGAAACAGGCTGGGAGAGGGGCAGTAAGATGCCCAAGGTCACACAGCTGAGCCTGGCTGGAACTCAGGTCTCCTTTCCACATCACACAAGAGTTCCCGAGCAATGGCTCCATTGTCATCACTCAAGGAGCGTATTCAAATTTTAGAATAATACGGATTCCAGACCCCACCTCTGGAAAGCTGTGCTGTAGGGCTAGGGCCTGGAGAATGTGTATTTTAACACGCTCTGGGAACTGGTGCCTTACCAGGTGGTCCCAGGCCAGGAGGAAGGGTAGCATGGATGGGAAGATGCAGAGCCCATGGGAGGAGAGAGGAAGAGAAGGGTCATCCAGTAGGGGCCTTGAAGGCAGATCTGGCCTACTTTTAGCCTTCATTTTGCCCAAACCCACCCCTCCTCTCTGCACGGAGGCTTGTTAACTCACTAGATACCACATCCTGCTGTTGCTTTCATCTCGCCTTCCTTTTCCCTCTAAATAATCTCCTTCCTCCTACTGACCTGAACTCTTGCTTATTTACCCCAGTCCTGGGATGGGCCAGCCCCCACGCGCACGCGCACACAGGCACCCCGAGTCAGTCAAGGGACTGCCAGGGGGTGAAGAGAGTTCCTCTGACAGCGCCAAGCGTGCAATTCACTAGAACAGCAGCCACCGTCTAGGGGCCCACGCTAGCTAGCAGGGGCGGGCTAAGGCAGGCACTTCCACGACTCCCAGGTCCTGATGGCAAAGGACCCCTGAGGCTAATGCTCACCGAGAAAGTTCCCAGGCGGAGGGAAGCCGACTCCTAGACCTTGCCACATATGGGGGCCTGGGAAGGAGGCAGAAGCTTCGGCCACACTCGGACAGCACAGAAGCGGTCCAGCAGTGGCCACCTAGATAACAACGTTCGATCCCCAGGACGTCCCTTCTGTCTACGGGATTATTGGGAACGCGGGTGTGCAGACCCCGTGCCCCGGCAGTGGCACCTATCCACGGAGCCGGAAGACAACAGGATCTGTCCAGCCAACCCGCTGCTCTCAGAACCCACTGCTCCCCGAACGGCTCCCAGCCATTTCCCTCTCTGCCTAGAGTCCCACGCGTGCCCTCAGCGCCCCCCGCCCCGGCTGCCCGGTTTCACACCTGCAGTCCCCGCCGGGCGCCGAGCCCCTCTCCAGCGGCGACTCCCTGCGAATCGGGGTACTGTCGGGACCACCGCTCCCGGGCTGGAGTCGCGCGGCCGGTCCCCGCATCTGCCCAGGCTCCGCTTCAACTGTGGGCTGGGAGTGGGGCGGGGCCACGCCGAGGGGCGGGGCTAGCTCTGGGGCGGGGTCTGGGGCGGGGCTGGTCGCCCAGCGGGCCTCTCACGCCACCTGGTGGCCGGACCGTGTCTGCGCGGTGCCTGTCTAGCCCAAGTTCCCGCAGAGTCGGGCTGCGCACGTCGAGCTTCTGAGCAGCATCCCCCAGATGTGAGTTCGTCTGCCCTCGGAAAGAACAGGCCCTGGCGGGTAGGCGGCCATGGTCGGAGGGATACCAGCACCGAGTACCGGCGTTCCCCCAGGACTAAGGTGCGGTTCCGCCAGGGGAGCGGAAGCGCGGGTTTCGCCCGGCAGGAGAGGAGGGCGGAGCAGGAGAGAGGCTTGGGGTGGGGGCTTCGGGGAAGGAGAAAGGGGAACCTCTGAGGAGCTGCTTCCTTCTCTCATTGCGACCTAGAGCCCCACTTCCTCCTACTACTTCTATTTTCTTTGGGTGCTCTTAACATTTATAATGCCTGCACCCCTACTGTGCAGACTATGCCTTGACCCTCACCCTTCTGCAGAAACCTTCCTAGAAATACCAGCCAATCCAGACTTTCAGCACTGCTGCTCGTCTGACTTTCCCACTTTCCTTCACCAGTGGCTGTCTCTTCCACCGTTTCTCAGCCTCTGAAGGAGGAGTCATCTCCAGTCAAGGCCGTCTTCTTGCCTCCCCTTCTCTCCCCACAGATGACGTAGCAGCCGTTGTTATATCAAGAGTTGGGTCACAGAATCCTGGAAGTCACTGCACATCCCTGTACCTCAGTTTCCTCATTGACAAAATAAGGGTGAGAAGGTTGGCTACCGTTCAGGCAGCTCTTCCAATGAAAGAATAGCACTTTATTTCAGAGTTAACAAAGGGCAAGGCTGAAATTCCCACTTCCACTATGAATGGGACCCTGTCACAATATGTCAGAGGTGTTCAAAATTGGCCACAGGGTAGTACGTTATTGTTGGTCAAAAGCCACAGTCCTACCTGAGGCTTTGAGAGATGTGAACCCCAATGACTTTTCTTGTCCTGACTCTTTTAACACCAAGAAAAAGCAACTTCCTTAAAGGCACAGAATCAGAAAGTACACTGGGGTGAACACGGAGGACTAGTTCCAGCCTATAGTAAGAGATGGAAAGGAGCTCAGAACCATCTAGTACTTCTCATCCACCACTGAATCCCCACACCACCACCATTTTACAAATAAAGAACCAGAGCCACAAAAAGACTGTGAGAAGACACGCCTAAGGTCATAGGACTTGATGAGGGTGGACAAGGACTCTAGTCTCCCCACTCCCTACTTTTCCACCACGAAAAGGAGAAAGGATGGAGGAGATAGCCCAAAGGTGGCCAGAGTAGGGAGGAAGGGGTAGAACTTCTTTGGAATGAGGAATTGAGTAGCAAGAATGACGCATTTTGTACCAGATTGACATACTGAATTATGAGATCACTTAGAAAGCTAAAGAAAATGCTAGAGGGGTGATGGCATCCTTGATTTCTTTCATGTCCTTGGGATTCCTAAAACTGAAGATGGAGGAAAGCTGGTGCAGTTGTCCATTAGAGCTCACTCCCAGAAAGCTGAGCATCCCAGGAAGCCCACTTGATGTCTTCTTACATCCCCTCAAAGATGGGCATTCCCTTCTCCACCAGCACGTGTGACCCAGATGTTGAGCTTGCATGTCATCCCAGCCCCTCACCCAGCTTCACCTGTGTCTCCATGTCCCTAGGGCAGACCCCCAACCAGGAGATGTGATCAGCACCTGACAACTATTGGCCAGAATTTCAAACTACAGCCACCAAGCACTTTCTACCTTCTATTCCCACCTCCCCAACCGTTGGTAAGACTCAAGATATCTCTCGCACGTATGTGCATCTGATTTTGTCCTACTTTGTACAGCTCTGTTGCTTCATTTAAAAATATATGTCTATTTGTTCTCTCTCTCCTTCCTTTCACTGCCTTATGTTTTCAAAGGGGAGTCTACTCATGTCTCCACTTCCTCATCTTACGTTTATTCTTCAATGCTCTGAAAAAATCACCAGGAAACCCTAAGTGCCAAATCCAGTGGCATCATTACCTCACTGCCATATTTGATGTTACCCTCCTTGAGAATTTCCCCCTTAATTCCTCCTCCTCCTCTACTTCTGACCAATTTTGTTTTCTTTTTCTGGCTTCATTTTCTTCATCATTTCTTAAATGTTGAGGTTGAGATTTGATTTGAGGCTGATTCTCTTCTCCCTGGGCTCTCTCATTGATCCTCATTATACTGATCCCTTCCAAATCTGTATCCCAGACTTCTTTCTTGAGCTCCAGCTCTAGAATTCCAAGTGCTTACTGCACATCTATACTTGGATAGCCTAGGAGGCAACTTAATCACTCCATGTCCTGAAATGAATTCCTCACCTTTCCCCAAATTCCTTCTCTTGCGTTCCCTATCTCAGTTAACACCTTTTCTGTCCACTCAGTTCAACACTAAAAACCTCACTATATACATAACATATCCAGAACATGTACAGAACTCCTACAACTCAAAAATAAAAAAGACAAACAACCTAATTTTAAAATGGGCAAAAACTTGAACAGACACTTCACAAAAGACATACAAATGGCTGATAAGTGCATGAAAAGGTGCTCAACATCATTAGTCATTGGGGAAATTGAAATTAAAACCAAAAGTTACCACTTTACATCAATTAGAATAGCTACAATTAAGACTGACAACACCAAATGTTGTCAAGGATATGGAGCAACTGGAACTCTGATACATTCTTGTAGCAGGGTAAAATTTCACAACTACTTTGGAAAACTGATTGGTAGCATCTAATAAAATTAACTGTACATCTCCCTCTGACTCAACAATTCCACTCTTAGATATATACCCAAAATAAATGAATTTATATGTCCACACAGAAGCATATATGTGAATGATTATACTAGCTTTATTCATAATAGCCCAATACTGGAAAAACCCAAATATCTATTAATAGTAGGGTGGATAACAAGCAATTGTGGTATATTCATATAATGGAATGCTACTCAGCAATAAAAAATACAGAAATTACTGATACATATATCAACGTGGATGAATTTCAAAAACATTATGTTGAACAAAAGAATCTAGACCCAAAAGAAAATATATTGCATGATTTCATTTATATGAAGTTCAAGAACCAGCTAACTAATCTATAATGATAAGCATCAGAATGGTGGTTATCTTGTCAGGAGGGGAGCAATTTAACTGGAAAAGGGACATGAGTAAACTTTCTGGGATGATACGTATATTTTCTATCTGTATCTGGGTGGTGGTCACACAGTATGTACATATTAAAAAGTGATTGAGATGTTCACTTAAAAGTGAAAAGGATTAGCAGTATCATAATGAGCTATAGCACCATTATTTACCTCTTGATTTGATTCACCAAGGACAGGACAGCACGACATCATTTCTGTGGTATTCTTATCAAAAATGCCTTACCTCAGTCTAATCATGAGAAAACAACAGGGGCCGGCCGAGTGGCGCGATGGTTAAGAACTCGCTTGGGATGCCAGAGGGCCCCGGTTCGGATCCCACATATGAGGGCCAGTGACA